TTCACTTTTGTTACTGGTTTACCTAGGGATGATCACAAGAAAAGAATGAAAAAATGGATATTAATCAATAAGTAATGGTTTACCTTCGGCCGCTAATTTAACATTTTTCACAACATCGCCATAATCCGGAAATGCTAAACCAGTCAGTTTTGAATACACCAATTCACTATTAATTTTTACCTCAAACGAACCTGAATTGAGATGAATGTTGGTAATTTTTTTCTTCACAGAAAGCATATATATTTGTATGAATGTATTCAAACCTCGTCGGCCTGTGTGACACACAACATCTGCTTTTGGGCACATTTCTCGAATGAATTTGCCCAATTCCTCACATTTCGGCTTTGAATTACAAATCTCGCTATGAAATACAACATTTAATTCAATAAGATGATGAATTAAATAAATGAAATGCTTTTACCAATATTCGATGTCGACTTTAACTGAATTCGTTTGAAAATCTTGAAAGTTACGTTCAATGGAATTGAGTGCTTCTCACAAAACACGAATAAAAAAAAGGTTAATGCAATCAGCTGTTTTTGACATTTGCTTCGAACCTCACATTTCTTCAACCGTTCACAGTATCGGTACATGGATTTGAAAAAAGACGTAAGTTGAACGTCTTTTATTCATTATCCATTAAATTCTTATCAACTTTTTAAAAAGAGAAACTTGAAATAAATATTTATAAAATGCCATCAATGGATGATTTTTATTTGTTTAAATTGATTTGATTATGGATATATTTTGTAAATATTTTGACTCCCAGGCGGCGCATACATCCAAAGCGACACTATTTTGGTATTACGCTTATTTCAGTTGGCTACTCGTTTCGATAAAAAAATTGCAAATCGAAGAAACAAAGAAATAAGCACCGAAACAAACTGGTATTTGTAATACCATTATTTTTCGATTATTTTACAATTATTTTTCGAATATTTTAAATTAATTGTATTCTTTTCTTTTGTGATTCTTCCCTTAGGTATTTGTAATAAATGTATATAATGTTCACTTTCACCGAACTACAGATTTTGTGTGCTGAATCAATATTTCTAAAGTACAGCCTACCCAGCAAACAATTGATAGGGCAAATGCATCCATTATGAAGCACATATTGACGGTCGTTTTCGGGGTTAGATTCGTGTGTATTTTCAGTCATTTCCATAGGTTTGGCATGGTGGAACATTCAGGTGTGA